AAATTATGCCAAGCTCTGCAGTGGCAAGCATAAAGTGAAAAGTAGTGATGAGGCTGGGCTTAGTGTAAACCCAGTTCATCTGAGTTCGCCCAAGCCCCCCAAAACTGTGACCACCACCCCCTCTTCAAGACCCAATCAGTTGCGGGGGAAGCTGTATGTCAAAAAGAGGCAGGGAATGCCCCCACTGTAACTGCCGCCACTGATTGGGTCAGGAGGAGATGGTGGCAGCCAGCGTTTTGAGCGGGCTTGGGCAAACTCAGGTGAACTGGGTCCACACCAACCCCGTCCTCATTTCTAGTAGAGATGCGAGCATAAAAGTGAAAGACGTGTACAGCCTTACACAATTATGGAAAAAAGAATCTAGGATGAAAATATTTATACACTTCACTTTTAATGTTTATACCAGACAAAGTCAATGTTAAAAATGAAATCCTTCAGGTTACAGTTCCTTTAAACATGACTGTACATGTATAAAGTATCACTAATTCCATGTGCGCCTGCGGTCATATATTTACTACACAGTCCAAAGGCCTATACACATACAGGCAATCCCTGTGTAAAATCTACTCCAGAGACATCCCATCCATTTACAAACAATCGGATTCATATATACATCATACCGTATAACGTATACTCTTACAGGAACAGCATAGGCTGGTGCAAACAAAGCCACAGACGGACAGACTGCTGTACGCCCACATACACAGCCTTCTCAAAGCTCTGGCAAACCTTGTGTGTATTTTTCACTTGCTCTTGGATCGTGTACACAAGCTTTTGTGTTAATTGGGGTGAAATTGGGAGTGATCCAGATTCACATTTAATTAGCATTTGGAAGGGGAAAGGCAACACTTGGAAAGCAAAGCTTGCATGGAGGAAGAAGCAATGTAATAATATTGCGGGTACTAGGGGCATTGGGGGGCAGTAGCCTCACCTCCGGGGCTGGTGTTCTTTCATATTTTCCGACCGTGTTAAGTTTTCCAACCTACGTAACGCGCGCGGCAAATGTGACACAACACTGGCTGCAGCAACAAATTGGAGCAGAGGAGGTGGGGTCGAACTGTGTGCAGATAATGGGTCAGTGATTACATAGTATCGGCGTCAGTGACATGGATGGGAATGGTTAGTGTGCACTGACATGAACATGGGGACGTGCAATGGGGACAAGTATGCTCTGTGGTGGCGGATACACATAGTTCTGTGTCTGGACTCTGGTCCCAACCCCTTCTATACCCGATGTCAGAGATTACATGACAGACCACAATACGGATGTCAGCTATTACATAGAGCGCATGTGTGCGCATTAGCGATTTTGCTGTTATATTTCCTGAGCGCGTTCCGTAGGTCGGCAAACGTAATGTGGTTGGAAATTATGACAGACAATGGCAATTCACATTTTAACCAGCAACAAACAAGGTCTAGAAGCTGACACTATGAATTGTGTTTTAAAGCTGAACCCCGGGATAAGTAAATATAAGAGTTGGGTGTATTGTTACTTCTTGGTGAGCTTTGTGTATTTCTTCCAGATCTGTGCAGGAATCCACTTCTTGTAATAGAGACCTGTCACTGCTGCTCTCTCTCCTTGTGCAGGGTGATTGGTCTTGTCTCTGCCCCCTCCTGTAGTTTTCTGCAGGTAGCCTGTAGTGGGTGGAGTCTACTGGGTCCCTCCCACAGCTCTGCTCTCTATGTGTTGATGTCATCACTATTTTTCCAGGCAATAACTAGTTTTGCAAAGGCATTTGGTACACAAAACTTTGATTTATATCCTTTTGTGGCTATTGAGAAATATATTTAAATGATCCCGGAGTTCAGCTTTAATACCATCATAAAACCAAGGATGTTGGTAAAAAGATTTGCTAGGAAGTGCAGTGTACATGTTACTGTTTATGATTTATAATAACTGCAGCGGCGTGGCCCATAACCCAGTGATCATTTTTCGAGTGCACATTTGCAATGAAAGCTGATGGTAATTGCTTGATAGGGGCCACATAAAAAAAAAAAAACATCTAGGAATTGCTGCTGTGCTGGCGTAATTCTAGGGCAGTTATAGATTATTTGTGGTCGGGTATATATACCGTATAATAGATATAGCGTGGGCTGAATTGTACCAATAAGCTAATGTTGCCTGAGGTGTGCCCGTGGCCATGCTGTTAGGTACGTCTATAAGGGGGCATACCAAATGAAAAGGTGATGGAATTTTAAGTTATAAAGAGGGATGGGTGGGTGGGGACAAACCTTCCCCTACAACGTCAGGCAAGAAATGGAAGAGGAGGAGTTTAAATAGCCATAATCCCTTCCCACAAATACAGGTTAATAAATTAACCTTCATACATATAAAAAAGAACTTCCGTTGCCCACCAGCAAAAGCTGCAGCTGCTGAGCTTCTTTCAGGCAGATTACAGCACGTTTGGCAGCATTGACTTCAATGGAAGTGCGTGAAAACGCAACACAAGCGTTTTGCACATTTGTGCGCACGTTTGCTCATTTAACACAATGCATTTCAATCTGCTCAATAAAACTCATGTCTTTTGTATATGTGTGTCTAATGCGCATAAAAATGTGCTAAACACGCTAGATGGTACACTTCAAAACGTGCATAAAAAAGTGCGCTGTATGCTGAACTTCAAGCATATTTTAAATAGAAAACAATGCAGTTATGTATTCATTAATAAATAATGTAATGTGTTTTTAAATGCAATCAGGTGTACCTGAAACTGTAACCTGTTTCCAAGAACCACCCGCACTCCTTACGGTCTGCAACCTTCCAATGGTGGTGGTGCTCTGGTAATCACAAGGATGGCGCCGTGCAAAGCTCAGAATAGTCTCAACAGGTCACCGTCACACACACAGATGAATTCAATATCTCTTGGATATGTTTATAAAAGGATGTCACGACATGTCATTAGAAGCTGAAGCTAGCGTTTCGAGACCTCACAGGGACTCTTCATCAGAGCGACAAGGTGACGACATGGTCACTATCTCGCTCTGATGAAGGGTCCCTGCGAGGTCCCAAAACGCTAGCTTCATCGTCTAATGACATGTCGTGACATCCTTTAAAGGAGAACTATGGGGTAAGTGTTTTTCCCCATAGTTCTCCTAAGGGTCACGGGAGGACATAAACTAGCGCCCTCCCATGACCAAAAGCTCAGTATATCGCTAGCTACAGCTCGCGATATACTGAGACTGCCGCACCCGGGACGGATCCCGACATTACTGTCGACAGCCACCCAGCTGCGTGATTGACAGCTGGCTCTGCCTATCTAGAGGCAGAGCCAGCTGTACCCGCCCCCTCCCCCGTCCGTTCCGCCAGTCAGTGCTGGAGGATCGGAGGGGGGGGGGGGAATCCCTGCAGGGAGCCGTGACTGACAGTCACGGCTCTCTGCAGGGACATGATCGAGAAGTGAGTGAGCGACGGTATGTGTTCGCTCACTTCCCGATCTATTGAGCCGACGTGTGACAGTTTCATTGTCACAGGTCGGCTAGAACTATGAGGTTAGGTGAAAATGACTTGCCTCATAGTTCTCCTTTAATAAACATATCCAAGAGATATCAAATTCATCTGTGTGTGTGCCGGTGACCTGTGAGACTATTCTGAAACTGTAACCTGAAGTACCTGAATTTGACTTGGTTACAGACTCCTCTAATCTGCTGTACAACAGTACTCAGGGCAGCATTAGAAGCCAATTTGGCTCTATTCCATGCACATGTGCTGTCGGGGAGCATACTGCTAGGAGGAGAGAACAGAGGGCTGAGCTCAGGTAGCTGCTCTATTCCATGCACATGTGCTGTCGGGGAGCATACTGCTAGGAGGAGAGAACAGAGGGCTGAGCTCAGGTAGCTGCTCTATTCCATGCACATGTGCTGTCGGGGAGCATACTGCTAGGAGGAGAGAACAGAGGGCTGAGCTCAGGTAGCTGCTTTTTCCCTGTCTTTTGACAGGCAGCAGTCCGGTTCATCCACCTGGCAGAGCTGTGGGAATCAATACTGGAGAGCCAAAATACTAATTCTTTGTCAGATAAAACTGTTCCCATATATGAATGTCATCTGCTGTACATCTGTTTCCCTGGAGTTCAGCTTTAATCTAACAATTACAATATGGCTTGTGTAGCAACAATTTGTATTTATTTATTTATTTTTAAACAAAAGTGGCGTGTTCCTTTGAAGATCCCTGAATGTATTTTACATGTGAAATCAAGGAACATTTTTAGGTTCCTTCTGCTAAACTTTCAGTCATCCAACACAACAGCTAATTATTGTATACCATTCCTTCTCCGAGTTCAAAGCTTTGGAAAGGAACTAAGTCACAAAGTAACTCATAAGCCCTGATGAAGAGGGATATTGAGGACCCCCGAAACGCATTGGCTTCGTTGTTCTATTGATCTTTATCAAAACATATTGGACTCTGCTATCAGCAGTGGTGCCCCCTTTTCTTCTATGTTTAGTTCCGCGTGAGACCCCCAATTCGAATTGCGGGTCCCATGTTTGTGAGGAAGCAGCCCCTTCAAGAACGTTTGACACTCCAAAGAAGCAAATTACTGACAAATCCCACAAACCTCCTGTATTTTACACAGACATTCCTTGGGCTGGCAATTGGTATATCACGAAGACAGACAGAATCTATAGTGGTCTCAATTAATCTACAGTAAGAATGATTTCACTTCCCAGTGGACTCATTTATCAATATTGTGTCTGTTGATGATCTTTATAGACTTGATTGTGCGTTTTCGGATAGCTGTTATTTCCGATGTTCTTCTGTCTCTTCTGTAAACGCATTTAAATTAAATATAGCCTACTTTACTGTATTTCCCTCAGTCACCTTGATCGTGAATGCATTTGACCTCCTATAGGCCTTCATTTACCACCCAGGTTGCCCTGATTCTAATCCACCAGGCCCTGTATGTAAATCCATTTTCTTCTGACCAAATGTGACAGGTCTCTTGGGAAAAGCTTTCCTTAATGTCTTTTTATGAGCTTCCGTAACAGAGCCGTCTTTTTCCCCACAGGTATAAAGGCTTCATCAAAGATTGTCCCAGTGGCCAGTTGGATGCGGCTGGTTTCCAGAAGATTTACAAACAGTTCTTCCCCTTTGGAGACCCAACGAAATTTGCCACATTTGTCTTCAATGTTTTTGATGAGAACAAAGTAAGTCAATGTTTTATATTCTATAAAGGGATTTCTCTTTTTTATAAAGAGACGCACTGTCTCTGGAAAAAAAAACTTAAACCCACTGGAAATAAACAGTGGAGTAACCAGAGCATACCTGCAGCAGCTTCAAAGATGGGCCATTTTGACTGGGAAAGCTTCAACACTTCCCATAATGTTAAAAGAGAACTAAAGCAAAAAGTTTTTTTGGCTTTAGTCCTCTTTTGGGTCAAAGGAGTACATTTTACTAATGTCCTCCTGTGATTCAAGGTCAAGATCTAGTGAGCTATTGCCCGCTATTTGCTGACAGCACAGAGCAGCCAGGAAAGATCCCGAAAATATTGTCGAGATTCACCCCGCTGTCTGATTAACAGTTGCCCCTCTAGAAGCAGAGCCAGCTGTGCCTGCCCACTCCCCTGTCTGTCCTTCCAATGAACGCTGGAGGAGCAAAGAAGGGAGGAGGGAATCCCAGCTCTCTGCAGGGAGAAGCCCAAGAGCTGGGCAATCAGTGGTTCATGATCGCTCAGCTCTCAATCTATAGAGCCGGAATGTGGCACCTGCAGTGTCACACGCCGGCTCTATGTTTTGGGAAGAACATTTTACTCCCCCAATATTTCACCTTCATACTTTCTGCACTTTTCTGTTGATGAGTAAGGCAACCCATCATCATGGTCCAATAGGAGTGTGTGTGTGGGAGGACACAGTGGTGATACTGAGACATTGCGGCAGGGCAAGCTGTGAGGCTTCACTAAGCCGCTATTCACACTAGTAAGATTTGGTGTGCACCTGCCATTCTGCTACACTGCACCACAGTGGAAATCACATTATTCTCTTTGATGGGGGTTTCCACCTATGCAACACGATAGTGTGATATTTGGAAAGCTACAGGTGCTTCCTTTGGTGCTACAGAGTACATAAGTACGAAATAATGCATATTCATTTTTTAACAGGTAGCCAGGAGGTGGTGCTTGCAGTTCCTTTTCACTTGTTTTCCTCTATCTCCTTAGCCCTATTTGTTGTGAAAAGCCTGTTTTATTTTACAGAGTTCAATAGCTCAAGCTAAAATCTACACAAGGGAATGACTCAAGGTTTCAATGAGACAGTCTGCCTGAAAGGAAACTACTTTTAATGTGCACTCTCCTTAGTGCAATGGGAATCCTTTGTTTTATAGTATGCCTATTTGTAAAGCAAAGATTGGCTACCTATAGTTATAAAAGGTAAAAAATAAAACCTCAGTTTGAAAGGTATAAAACTAAAATAAAACTGCTATAGTTTCCCTTTAAGGAAGCCTGTAAGGGGTGAAATACGGGGGCTGTCATTGGTGACCTGAAAAAGCCAATGGCCTAGCTTTAGCATAGCTGAATATTTGATATAGGCCCATTCCTCCTGACGGGCGTGCTAACATGCTGTGCCCAGAGCTGTATCTCTTTACAGCAAGTACCTTACCGTATTTTCACTTATTATGACTAAATTCCTGGGAGAATGCGTATAAAATCTTACAATTATACTTAATGTCTTCTGCTGCACCCAGGACTCTCCAGAGTCCTTCAGCCAATTACACTTTTAATTCCTAATTTATTACATTATATATTACCGTGGTAGTTAAGGCAAGAACAAGTATTTGGAGCGCGTTATGATTAATTTATTCCTATTAATTTAAGTGTAACTGGTTTATTTACTTACGGCACAGACAGCACACATTTACTTTGCTTGTTGTATGTAGATGCAGTGATTACAAGCTTCATATTTTAATTTGCCGTTTCTGTACAGTAATCATTATAGTATGTTCAAAGCTAGTCATGTGACTTTCCTAAGTAAAACCACCGAGTGCTGCTTGTAATAATAGGGTAATGTAAGGATTAAAGAGAACCAGCACTGGGGTCTTTGGTTCAAATCCCAGTCAGTACACTATATACATGGAGTTTGCATGTTCTCCCTGTGCTTGTGCATGTTTCTTCCGGGTACTCTGGCTTCCTCCCACATTCCCAAAACATGCTGGTAGGTTAATTGGCTCCTGTCCTAATTGGCCCCTGTATGTGTGCACGTGAAATAGGGACCTTAGATTGTAAGATCCTTTGGGGCAGGGACTGCTGTAAATGTAGCATGTAAAGCGCTGCGTAAGTTGTTGGCGCTATTTAAATGCCTATAATAAATATATAAATACTTTAGCATAGTCTACTCAGCCCTTCTGTTCCTGCAGAAGGGTGGGGACGAGTGAAGTCACAGATGTGTATATGCAAATGAGGCTGACTTTGGAAGACTGTGGTTATAGGGCTAGGAAGGTGAATGCACTCGGCACCTCTGCTAGTGACACCACAGAATGTTATATTACTTCCTATTAGGGATGCACCGATACCATTTTTCCAGAGTATGAGTACTGATACTTTTCCTCAAGTACTTACTGATACCAATTACTGATGCCTCTTTTTTTAGTGTCGTGTGATAGTTTATCTAAAACAGTACAGACTAATGATTTTAGGACAGTGGTGGAGCGACAGCTGCGACCTTGGTAGTTCTGCCACTAACTCCAATCTGTAGAGGGACTACAAATCTCAGAAATACATTATATAGCATTGCAGAATACCCCTAGGTATAGAAGAGTACAAATCCCAGCAATACATTATACAGCAATGCAGAATAATACCGTCGGCTATAGAGGACTACAAATCTCAGCAGTGCATTTTACAGCAATGCACAATAATACCATCAGCTATAGAGGACTACAAATTCCAATACATTCTACAACAAAGCATAATAATAGAATATGAATTTCCTACATACTCTGTGCTGCTGCTCTGCTTCAGGGTCGGTTCACACCACAAAGTCTGCATTCTAGAGCGTTTGGCCACTGGAATGCAAGCCGGCTGGCTCCCTGCATTCAGGGGCGCGAGAGGGCATGGCAGTGCATTGGTCAATGGCACCACAGCCATGCCCCCCACCTGCAGTGCGATCGCCCGCACAAGAAACGCAGGCACATGAGTGCCTGCGTTCCGGTCCAGTGCGATATGCAAAAATAGTGCTTGCAGTGCGGGTGATCGCACTGCGGGCAGGGGGGCATGGCTGGGGTGCCATTGACTTCAATGCACCGCCAAGTCCCCTCCCGCCCCTGAACGTAGGGAGCCAGCCGACTTGCGTTCCAGTGGCCAAACGCTCTGGAACGCAGACTTTGTGCTGTGAACTGGGTCTCAGGAGCGGTGTGTAGGGTCTCGGGAGGGAGACTTGTGAGTAGTGAAAGCACATTACGCAGGCGCCCAGTGGTTCCCAAGAAGGCTGACACGAGGTTCCCAGCGTGGGACCTCAGGCAACCGAATCAATTTGAGTAAATAAAGTGCCGGCAATGTTTTTTTGTATCTGGGCATCACCACTAGAGTCTCCTTTTTAGTAAATTTTTTGGAGAATGCAGCAGAAAACGTGAGACTTACAACACTTTCCTTTGTAATGTCCATTGTCGGGGTTAAAGTGGGAATTCCAGTGCAGAAACCACTTGGCTGGATTATGGGAGCAGTATAGGTGAAGCGTCAATGATTCCCTCCATCAACTGAACATTTCATTGGAATATCCAAGTGAAATGAATGCATTAGAGCTAAGGATACATATAAAGTTGCTCGGGCAGAGGTGTGATTTACTATCTTGATATCTTTTTTTGCAGGATGGACGAATCGAGTTTGCAGAATTTATCCAGGCTTTATCTGTCACTTCACGTGGGACGCTGGATGAGAAGCTGAGATGTAAGTCAGCTGGCTTGCACAGCATACATATCGCCAAGTTGGCTTATTTAAAGAGACCCTGTCACCAGGCCATTCATTTCAACAACAATCTTCCCATAATGTTATATGTGCCTTTTAATGTATTTTATTTACCTCTAAAAACCTCCCTTGTTTATAAATCCACAAGCCCTGAGACTGCTGTTGGGCGCTGCCATCTTGGATGTGATGTCAGCAGCCCCAGCATGCTTAGAGCTATCACTTAAGTATTCCTCTTCTTGGAAAAAAAATCTCTAATGGGGAAACATGCACAGCAGCTAAAAAAATATTTTATTTTAGTACATTGAAGAAACATCAGAACCTCTCTCAGTGCCTCCAAGTCCCAATGACACCTATACCCTTCATTCTTGCTCTGGTGTCACCAGGACAGGAAATAAAAGGAAAACTCCCCAGTGGTGTGACGAACAGCAATAAAATCAGAGGTTCTAACTCTTTCCTTCTGTAAACTAAAGCTGGCCATACACTACTCTATTTTTTTTGTGTGCAACTCCTGGACAGAACGAAAAAAATAAAGCCGCTTCCTCCATCAACGCTGTGAGCGCGTTGATCGAGGAATCCCCGCTGTTTCTGCGGCCGCTGTCAGAATACTGAGGTGGCAACTCATTGGCTGCCGGCTTTGTTCATACGAAGTTTTTCTGGCCAGCTCCTTTGATCAGCTGATTCACGGTTTTCAGTTCATCGAGTACTTGCCGAATTTTGCACACTGTATGGCCACCTTAAAAAAAAAAATAGTCTTAGCAACAGTTGATCTCTATTTTAGTTAAAGGAGAATTATGGAATCAGTGTTTTTCCCCATAGTTCTCCTAAGGGTAACGGGAGGACACAAACTAGCGTCCTCCCGTCACCCAAAGCTCAGTATATAGCGAGCTACAGCTCGCTGTATACTAAGACGAAGCGGCCGGGACGGATCCCGAAATCTCTGGCGAGATCCACCCAGCTGCATGATGGACAGCTGGCTCTGCCTATCTAGAGGCAGAGCCAGCTGTACGCGCCCCCTCCCCCGTCCGTTCCGCCAGTCAGCTCTGGAGAATCGGACAGGGGAGGGGTGGGGAATTCCTGCAGGGAGCCGTGAGTGACAGTCACAGCTCTCTGCAGGGATAGATCGAGGAGTGACCGAGCGACGGAATGTGTTCGCTCACTTCCCGATGTATTGAGCCGACCTGTGACAGTTTCATTGACACAGGTCGGCTAGAACTATGAGGCTGAGTGATTTTCACTTGCCTCATAGTTCTCCTTTAAGGCTTGATAAAACTGGGCTCTTTTTCTACCTCCTTTATGGGGCAATGATGAGCTCCTCTGGCTGTTGGATTTCTTTGCTATCACACAGATCTTCAATCTGTTGTTATTTAGTGTATTCATATTCTCGAACACCATGTGAAAAATTTTAGCTACCTCTCCATTGTTCTTGGCTATCAACCCAGAGATCGGTATAGCATTATTTATTAATATTCATACTTATGTACCCAGCTGGTAATGTAAAGATCTTTTAACATTCAAATAATCTGTAATATTAAATCTGATTTAAGAAAAGAGGTATGTGTCTGTAGATGACTTCCCTCTCTCTTCATACAGGGGCGTTTAAACTGTATGACCTGGATAATGATGGCTACATCACACGAAACGAGATGCTGGACATTGTGGATGCAATTTACCAGATGGTGGTAAGCTTGGATCTCATGTATTCAATCAATAAAACAATCAAAATGCAACAATCAAATCGTCTTTACATTTTACACTTGGAACACAAAAAAGAAACAGGTTGAACTCTTGGCTAAATACAAGTTTAGGTCAAACGTTTTTATTAGTTTTCAAATAGAATATGAGGCAGTACACAAGGTTAGAAAACAACATCCATAAAGGGGATATCACAGTTTTAGCCCAACATTGATGACATACATACCATGTCATATATTAATATATATAAAAAAAAGGGGGGGGGGGGCAGCAGCTTTCCAAGAGAGAAATTAGGGATTCCAGGCAATAGAATTATAAAGGAGGGCGTCATCGGGATGATAGAGCAGTGAAGGAAATACATTTTAATATGGAGATATTTCACAAAAGAATACGCTGCTTTCTTCACCGTTGAAACGGTCCCATAGGAGGAAAGCTGAGGGCACTTGAGGGTGTTAGACAGGTGGCTAAATACAAGTTTGAATACAAACACTTCTAACAGAATTGCAAAACAATACCGGCGCCTTCAAATCCAAAAAGAGCCCAGCAGTAAAAATACAGCAAACACGATGGAGGCAGCTCCCACAGATTAGATGGACCACCAGTCTATGAGAAAAGGAACAAAAGAGAGCGCCTCCATAGTGTAAAAAATGTTATTTAATAGTAAAAACACGCAGCTCTAAGGCTGTACTTACAACAGTCCGGTAGAATAAAAACCAGTAGAATAATGTGAGAGGACGGAACCCCTGGCAGGGAGAATCTGGAGCGATGTAAAACACCAGTAACCTCGATCCCTGTATTGATAAATGGTTTTTGCGTTTCTGGGGCACGCCCCCTTCTTTAGAACCAATTTAAATCCTGTTCAGCCAGTCTTGGGTTCCAGCCATCCCTGCCAAAGAGTACAACCAGTGCAGGTAAAGTGTATGTAAGGGCTAAAAAAAACATCAGTACATCTGTCCTATACATGCACATTTCTCTATGGTCAATCCCTTTAAAAACACTGGAATTACAGAAAAATACCCCTTGATCTGTCAGACATCCAGTGTGCTCCTAATTTCCTGTTTCAGCTGATAGCACTATGAGGGGAATTTATCAGCTGCTCTCTTCAGTTTGTTCAGTTAAGATTTAAAAAAGAAAGATGCTTATTGGTTGCCATGCAGAGCTGCTCAAGATTTTGTCTGCTCCAGTTGTGATAAATTCCGCCCAGTGTTTTCTCTACATTGCAATTCCAGCCTGCTGGACTACAGAACTCCACCTATTCCTTAAACCTCCCTGTCTCTTTTCACACACACCAAAACAATACTGCTGCCTTGACTCCCAAGAGGCTGCGTACACAATGCTTGTAGGCAAAGAGCTCTTGGGAGATGTAGTTTCTGGGAGACATGCCTACATCAGTAGGAACCGCAGCTACTCCTGCAAGCCTGATGATGATGCCATAAGGAGCAATATGGAAAGGGAGGTTTTGCGTTACATTTGGGTAATGCCTTGACATACACTTTGGGGGCAGCAGCTTTCCAAGAGAGAAATTAGGGATTCCAGGCAATAGAATTATAAAGGAGGGCGTCATCGGGATGATAGAGCAGTGAAGGAAATACATTTTAATATGGAGATATTTCACAAAAGAATACGCTGCTTTCTTCACCGTTGAAACGGTCCCATAGGAGGAAAGCTGAGGGCACTTGAGGGTGTTAGACAGGTGGCTAAATACAAGTTTGAATACAAACACTTCTAACAGAATTGCAAAACAATACCGGCGCCTTCAAATCCAAAAAGAGCCCAGCAGTAAAAATACAGCAAACACGATGGAGGCAGCTCCCACAGATTAGATGGACCACCAGTCTATGAGAAAAGGAACAAAAGAGAGCGCCTCCATAGTGTAAAAAATGTTATTTAATAGTAAAAACACGCAGCTCTAAGGCTGTACTTACAACAGTCCGGTAGAATAAAAACCAGTAGAATAATGTGAGAGGACGGAACCCCTGGCAGGGAGAATCTGGAGCGATGTAAAACACCAGTAACCTCGATCCCTGTATTGATAAATGGTTTTTGCGTTTCTGGGGCACGCCCCCTTCTTTAGAACCAATTTAAATCCTGTTCAGCCAGTCTTGGGTTCCAGCCATCCCTGCCAAAGAGTACAACCAGTGCAGGTAAAGTGTATGTAAGGGCTAAAAAAAACATCAGTACATCTGTCCTATACATGCACATTTCTCTATGGTCAATCCCTTTAAAAACACTGGAATTACAGAAAAATACCCCTTGATCTGTCAGACATCCAGTGTGCTCCTAATTTCCTGTTTCAGCTGATAGCACTATGAGGGGAATTTATCAGCTGCTCTCTTCAGTTTGTTCAGTTAAGATTTAAAAAAGAAAGATGCTTATTGGTTGCCATGCAGAGCTGCTCAAGATTTTGTCTGCTCCAGTTGTGATAAATTCCGCCCAGTGTTTTCTCTACATTGCAATTCCAGCCTGCTGGACTACAGAACTCCACCTATTCCTTAAACCTCCCTGTCTCTTTTCACACACACCAAAACAATACTGCTGCCTTGACTCCCAAGAGGCTGCGTACACAATGCTTGTAGGCAAAGAGCTCTTGGGAGATGTAGTTTCTGGGAGACATGCCTACATCAGTAGGAACCGCAGCTACTCCTGCAAGCCTGATGATGATGCCATAAGGAGCAATATGGAAAGGGAGGTTTTGCGTTACATTTGGGTAATGCCTTGACATACACTTTAAACAGCACAGCTTAGTCACCTCTCCAACTGCTGCTCTCCTGCTGAGTAAACAAGTTGCTGAGGTCATCCCTCTGCTCTCTAATCCTTTGATATACCAACAAGCTTACTGTGAAATCATGCAATAATACGTTTTATACTTGTTCTGAATATATATTACTATTTATTGATTTAAAGATAATTTAATACAATTACCTTTTTTTATTGTACATATGATGTAATCCTAAATTCCTGTATCAGGGAAGGCCTATATTTTGTCTTCTTATGCCCACAGTATTAGACTGACAGCAAAGTGCTAAGTAATAAAATATAAAATGGGAGCACATTTTATTAAGGTGCAGGAACTGTTTACACCTGAGGTCGCGCTATTGATTATTATACCAGGACCAATTAAGGAAGTTTAGAAAGGCTTATTTCGATTTTTTTTTTGCTGCAAGAACTGTAATGGCTAGATATTGGAGGTCTCAAGATACCCGCAAATTAAAGATCGGGTCAAAGAAATTAATTTTTTAAGAAGGGTTGAAGAGTTAGTAGCGTGATCCCAGGACAGATACCCACAATGGTGGCATGGAAACCATGAATAGAGTCTGGTCCAACTGTTCCGTACGACCGCGGCGGACCCTGCAAGGACACCTTGCCGATCCCTGGCGGGGGGGGGCACACGGGGGGGCAAGTGAAAACCTAGGGGGGGCAATTGCCCCACCTTGCCCCCCTGTAGCGACGCCACTGCTGGCATCAGTACCATGTGTTTACTAGGAATGTAAGGCTCACTTCCATGGCCATTGGAGGAGTGGAGAGGAATGAGGGAAGGAGGAGATGAGACTGTGACTTTTTTTTTATTTTCTTCTTTCTAATTCCATTTTTTTTGTTTTTGTTTTTTTGGGTGGTTTAGGGATGGGAGGGATTTTGGGTTGTTGTTTTCCTTGCTTATTTTTTTTTTTTAGTTGAAACCCCTAGGGGGGAAGAATGGTTTTAATACCAATGGGAAGGGAAATTTATGGTGGTTGTTTTAGGAAGAAGTTAGGAATATCTTTCTCTTCTGTTTTCTGATACGATTTCTCCCCGGGAGAGTCTTTTAACAGGATGTTTACATGTTTATATGTTTGTATTGTTATATATAGAAACAATAAAGAAATGTTATACACAAAGTGCTAAGTAATAGAGACCTGACTGACTGAGTACTGACTCTCCCTTTCACAGTAAAGAAGCTAAAATAAAGGCAAAATTGTGTTTTCAGCTTTCAAGTCGAAATTCAGGGTACAAAAAAAATTATTTTGGTTTTGGATAGTGGGGTTACAATATATATCAGTTTTTTTTGGCATCTCTGACCCCACTTTTTCTGGTGACAACCAAGTGACGGGGCAAAGTCAAGAATAAAATCCATGAAAAAGTTTTAAACAAGGCACTAAACACAGATCCTTGGCTGAAAATATTATGCAAGCCTAGTGGCTTGGGTTCAACAGCTCTCCATTAAAACTGGAGGTCCCATGGGAGGTAGGGTTCACCCAGTTCACCTACATGTCATTGAGCCAAAAGGAGCACCAAGCAAATGTCTTAACAGTTCAGAGTCTTTTGATTATTAGACCAACCTTTCTCAATGGTGTCGCCTTCTGGCTTCCTGAATATTTTGTGGTAGTGGGACTGTGATGTGAAGAGGGTAACTCTTTTATGAAAGAGGGACTCCTGATGTGAAGGGGGACTACTGATAAAGTGTGACTCTGATGTGAAGGGGGACTACTGATAAAGTGTGACTCTGATGTGAAGGGGGAAACACACTTTTTTGTGTGTTTTTGCATGGGTCCCCCTTAAAATCGATGACATTTTAGAGTTGGGCTTTAATGCTTACTTTAATGGGCTTTAATGCTTACTTACAATGTGCTGAATATCTGACAAAATCAAATGACCGCCGTCTTTTGAACAATGTACAGTAATGCCTCTTTCAGAATGATCATTCCCGAGAATACATTTGGAGTTATGTGTGCTTTTTCCTCAGGGTAACACAGTGGAGCTTCCAGAGGAAGAAAACACTCCAGAGAAAAGGGTGGACAGGATTTTTGCAATGATGGACAAGGTGAGAGGAAGGAGCAGTCTCTTATAACTTCTATCAGGTGCTCTGCAAAAAGGGCCACAATCCAGTAAAATGATGTCCTGTACTTTCAACCTGTAATCATGATAGAACACTGAACAGGATCATCCCAAAATCGACTGCGCTCCCACTTCTTTTTATAAGGGCATCAGCAGATTAGATTTGTGCAGAATATTACCTGCTGATTTGTGATTGGCTGTTGATATTAGTTCCTGTACACCACTATTTACATTGCGTTGCTATTAGAGGTAACCTGTAATGAGACAAATTTGGAGGCTGCCATTGCGGAGTTCTTTCTGAAAATGCCAGTGCTTGGCCATCCCAGACTTCAATAGTTTCTAAGTTGCTGATCTGGAAGAAGCATGCATATCAGAAAAGCCAAATTGAGGTCAGAATTCCTCATCTGCATACTTGTACTGGGTTGGGGATTTGGAATTTTTGAAGCAAAAGGGTCAGCATGACAGCCAGACAGAAAGAGATCTCCCTCTCCACAGCAGTACATATTCAATTTTCATCACTTGCCCAGTGCCTTATTCTCATCCCCCTTCCCTCATGTGAATATGCTAGATGTCTGCTCATTGGCACAGCACAGTCACATTGGTTCAGGGAAAGAGTTCATAACCCTGTGTAAGCTTGAACAAGTTTATTTCTTTTCCCTGGTCCTTGTGGCTGAACGTAGTGGCACAGGGTGAGGTAGCTAAGTATGTGCTGCTGGAGAGGGGGAAGTTAAAGTATAATTAAAGCCTCCAGTGTTTTTGCATATATCCAGTAGATATATGCAAAAGGGGTAAAAACGCTTTAAAAGCGGTTTAAACTTACCTGTGTCTTCCGTCCGAAAATGCGAAAATTCTCAGGCGGCCGCAAAGCATCTTGGGGCGGGCGCATGCGCAGTTCACATTTTCGGCCGGGACGCGAGGAGAGACACAAGGTAAGTCTATGGGCGCGTGCACCCGTATGCAGACACCGTGGGACAGGAAGTGCCAGCAAGGACAGAGGAGTCAGCGCTGGATCGGAGACCCGCCGCAGCGCTGGAGGGACAGATGAAAAGGACAGGAAAGAAATGGAGAAGGATTTGGGGGTCATTGTAGACCACAAACTGAAAGGTAGTTTGCAGTGCCAGGCTGCTGTAAACAAAGCTAGCAGGGTCTTGTCCTGTATTAAAAAGGGGATGTATTGCAGGGACAAGTCTATAATTTTGCCACTTTATAGATAATTTGTTCGAACTCATCTGGAGTATGCCGTCCAGTTCTGGTCACCAGTACTAAGAAAAGATGTCCTTGAGTTGGAAAAAGACCAGCGGAGGGCAACCAAACTAATTAGGGGTATGGAGGACCAGAGCTACGAGACAAGGCTACTAAATTTAAACATGTTCACATTGGAGGTGAGGAGATTAAGGGGGGATATGATCTCCATGTACAAAATGTTCAATGGTGGTAGCAACATTAGCGATAAACTGTTTAAAATTAACTCCATTACAAAAACTAGAGGCCACCACCTAAAATTGGTGGAAAAAAAATTCCAGCACAAGGGGCGAAGGGGGTTCTTTACAGTTAGAGCGGTTAGGGTCTGGAACTCTCTGCCACAGGTGGTGATTTCAGCAAATAATGTGGAATTGTTCAAGAAACTTTTGGACGATTTCTTAAGGGACCGTAATATACAGGGGTACAGGTACTCCTAGAATGAGATCCTAATAGGTTGGACTTGATGGACTAATGTCTTTATTCAACCTCAAATACTATGTAACTATGTAAAGAAGAAGAAGATCGGATTAAGAAACATAATTTAAGGTAAGTACTTTAATATTGGGGGGAGGGAACAATTTTTTTGACTTTAATGTCACTTTAAGTGAACCATGTTCTTTGCACTGCATGAACAAAGTAATTGTCCCTTTTAAGGTGCACATGTAATCATATCATATCATATGTTTATTAAAGACACCTTGTCACTTTCCTTTCCCTTACTACTATTATTTTTCATTACAGAACTCTGATGGTAAACTGACTCTGCAGGAATTTCAAGAAGGATCAAAGGCAGACCCCTCGATTGTGCAGGCACTATCTCTATATGATGGATTGGTATAGGGATCACCCACCACAGCTGTATGTAAGTCGCTGAGCTAGAAAGCAAACTTATTAAAACTCATTCCATTCCATCGAAGGTCACACTTACCTGGCTGTAAAATATTTGGGGATTACCATACTACATATAAAACATATTGTACTGGATCAGCCCACCAAAAGTGAGCTTTCAGTCGCAGGCTGTAGTCTTTGTAGAGATGTCTTCGTATAATAGTTCCTGGCTTCTACTTGTCTCTCCTGTTGGAGTTTTGAGTGTTAAATATACAGTATAAAATTGTTATTTTAAAAGTTAATTTCAGCCAAAACTGAGGCTGTACATCGCGCAGGGGCATGCGGGTTGGGGTGGCGACAGATGTGGTAAGACAGGCGGCTGTGTTAGAACTGTGCCCGTCAGCGGCTCTCTGTCTGGTCCTGCCCAGCTCACTGATGTCACTGATTGCCAGGAGCTCAGCTGGACTCCTGTTAGCCAGAGCATCCCGCACAGCTCCCTGGCAACCGCTGATGGGAAGCCAGACAGAGCCACAGGTTGCTAAGAGCTCTTAGCAACCTGGGATGCTGTGGCTGCCCCTCTGCAGCCCGCACCCCACACCTGCTACCCCTCTAATTAGATGCACTTGCCTCAGGCTGCCTCATAAGTAGAAATATTTAATTGGGGACCCTGACATAAAACACATTTAATAGGTTATGATATTATTATTATATATTTTTTGAGGGTCTTGCCTTCCTGTCCTGGTGACCACCAGTCCCTCATTTCTTGTACGGATGTCATATGGACAAGAAGTGAGGGAAACGCTCCCCTTTCGGGACATAGACAGAAAAACCCACCTGACAGAAATGTTATATTTATATCTATACTCTATATTTGTCAGAGACTCAGAAAACACTAAAACCAAAGATTTAATATGACAGCCAAAAAACTAGCATTCTGAAAAAGAGTTCAGCAGTGGCGGCCTCCACGGTTCTCAAATGACAGAGTCCCGTTAAAAGGAGGCAGCAGAGGTTCCAGAAAGAGAGGGCGAGTCTTCTTTCATGTCCCCTGCAGAGGGCGCTTACCTTGCCCCATGACCAGAATACTCCTGGTGTCCTATTAGTAGTATTTAAAGTGACATTAAACCCTCAGATTTTTTAACATAAACCAATACTGTAATGTGTGCCTTACTGTAATCCATGGTTGTTTCCCTTCTCTTTGCTGCTCTTCCTTTTAAATCCTCATGTCTTCTCATGCTGGTGGAGAACTTCCCTTTTCAGCTAAGAGCCTCTTCCTGTAGTGCTGGCTCAGGTTACAAGCCTATACAAACTTATACACAGACACCGTGTATCCATTCCTGAGACAAGGCAGTCTGCTGCAAAACAGAAGTTCTGCAGAGCATGAGAACAGATACAGATTTAAAAGGAAGAGCAGCAAAGAGAA